TGTCTTTGAAGGTGAGGTCTATTTCTTTTTCTTTTTCTTTTCTTTTCTTTTCTTTTCTTTTTTTTTTTTTGGTTTTTACGAGACAGGGTTTCTCTGTATTGTTTTGGAGGCTGTCGGTCCAGCCCGGCCTCGAACTCACAGAGATCCGCCTGCCTCTGCCTCCCGAGTGCTGAGATTAAAGGTGTGCACCACCACCGCCCGGCTGAGGTCTATTTCTTGTGGGCAATAGAAGGATGAATTCTGTCTTCATATCCATTCTGTTCCTGTGTCTTTTTATAGGTGAGTTAAGACCATTGATATTGAGGGATATTAATGTCCATTGATTGTCGATTCTTGTTTGTTTTAGATTCATTTTTGGTGGTGGTATTGTGTGTGAGCTTTCCCCCTATTTCTTGCTTTTGGCAAAGTGAGATTATCTATCGCCTATGTTTTTGTGAGTATAGTTAATTTCCTTGGGTTGGAGTTTTCCTTCCAGAACTTTCTGCAGGACTGGATATATGTATATGTACTGTGTAAATCTGGTTTTGCCATGGAATTTCTTGTTTTCTCCATCTATAGTGATTGAGAGTTTTGCTGGGTATAGTAGGCTGGGCTGGCATCCATGTTCTCTCAGTGTTTGTAGAACATCTATCAAGGACCTTCTGGCTTTCAGAGTTACCATGGAGAAGTCAGGTGTAATTCTGATAGGTTTGCCTTTATATGTTACTTGGACTTTTTCCTTCACCGCTCTTAATATTCTTTTTTATTCTGTATGTTTGGTGTTTTGATTATTATGTGGCAAGTGGACTTTTGTTGTGGTCAACTCTATTTGGTGTTCTGTAGCTTTTTATACTTTCATTGGCCTGTCCTTGTTCATGTTGGGAAAGATTTTTCTATGATTTTGTTGAATATGTTTTCTGCCCTTTTGAGCTTCTTTTATACTTAATATTCTTAGTTTTGGTCTTTTCATGATGTCCCATATTTCCTGGATATTTTGTGCTAGGTATTTGTTGGATTTAAGATTTTCTTTGGTCGATGAATCTATTTCTCCTAGTGTATCTTCAGTGCCTGAAATTCTCTCTTCTATCTCTTGTATTCTGTTGGTTATGCTTGCATCTGTTCATCTGTAGTTCCTGATCATTTACTCAGCTTTTCTATTTCCAGAATTCCCTCATTTTGTGTTTTTTTTGTTGTCTCTATTTCAGTTTCCAGGTCTTGAATTGTTTCCTTCAACTGTTTGGCTATTTTTTTCTTGTTTTTCTTTGCTTCCTTTAAGAGACTTGTTGATTTCTTGCATTTTTGTTTGCTTTTTCTTCCATTTCTTTAAGAAATTTTCTCATAACCTCTTTGAGGGTCTCTATCACTTTCATGAGGTTGTTTTTAAGGTCATTGTCTTCTGTTTCATCTGTGTTGGGATGTTCAGGTCTTGCTGGTGTAGAGTCCCTGGACTCTTGTGTTGTCATATTGTTTTTTATGTTGTTGAATGTGTTTTTATATTGTTGTCTTCCCATTCCTTCTTTCAGTTGGTGCACATGGGGTCTCTTCTCCTAGTGGGTAGAGGTCTAAGGTTGTCTTCCGGTGGGTTTAAGCAGGTCCAATACTCCAATGGTTCTCACGATGGGTAAAGGTGTGTCTAAGACACTCTAGGCAAGGGGCAGGCCCAGGAATATCTAAGGAAGTTGATGTAGGGAGTTGAGACCCAGAGAAGAGCCCACACTTAACTCAAGCAGAGGGTAGAAGGGGAAGAGGGGCCAAGACTGAAGTGTTGCCAGGCTCAAGGTGGTCCTTTCTGGTAGGGCAGGTTCACTTTAGGTGCAGAACAGGCCCAGGAAGATGCAAGGAAGGGGATTTAGGGAGTTCACATTTATTCACCTTAATTCACATTCTTATCACAATTTAAGCTTTCTCATTCTTGGATCTTTATAACTTGCATTTACTCACATTAAAAACGCATTCTTAGGGGATGGAAAGGGGTGGAAATCAGGTGGCAGGAGAAGGGGAGGGAGGGGGAACTGGGGTTGGTATGTAAAATAAAAAATAATTTTTAAATAAAATTTCAATTAAAATAAAATAAAGAATGAAAAAAACACCTTCTTAGACCCTAAAACATTTTATTATATCCTTTCTACTTAAGCTTTCATGTCTTTAAACCTTATACAAGCTTTACACATTCTTTCTATCAATCATTCACCAGGAGACACAGGTGGCTGGTTACTGAGATCAGTTATTATAAAGCAAGTTTCTTTCAATAAAGGAATAGTAAAAAGTTACATTGAAATCTGTTTTGGACACTTACCTCTTTTCTGAGTCTGGTAACAAGATAAACTGTGTTTAGACCTAGTAATAGCTCTAGTCTCCTAGTAGGGCCTATGACCTATATTTCACACATGAAGGGTTCTGAGAAGGCAGTTGAAGTCTTGGTTGATGCTTTTAAACTGACAAAACTATCATTAACCTAGTTGTCAATGCCATCAAAGACCTGAGAAGGATAAATTTCACCTGAGTAAGCAGAAATGCAAAACAATTTGCTTTCAAATCTATTAAAAATAACAGAAACTTCCCTATTACTTAAATGGGTTACCTTAATTTCTGGTGTTCTACATTGCTTCGTTGGGGGTGGTAGTCTTAGGTCTTCAACTGTCATACAGGACAGGATTTAATCTTTAATTTTCATACACAGCACCCTAGGTCTTTGGCTGCCAGTCCCAGGTCTGAGATTTTTCTGTAGAAGAGCAACTTGGGGGACTGACCTTACTCAGGAAAATTAGCTCAGTCAGCCCAAAAGTGTCCACAGTGTGAGCAGAACCCTGGCATCAGTTTTTCCCAGTGGTTAGCATTACTATACCTGGGTAGCATTGTTGTGCTACATTTGTCTTCTTTGAATACCTTAAAGATTCCCACTAGAAGGGGCAGTTTGTCTATTATGGGAATCATAAACATTTCCAATGCCATATTCTGTAGATCTCTGAGGGATTTGAGCACCAGCTATCTATTAAGTATAACTGAATAGATAAACTTTGCTTGTTTCTAATTGATTGTTTTAGGGTTAACTTTGAAAACATATACAAAGGGCTAGGTAAGGAATATTCTTGTAATTAATCATATTAGTACTTAGCATTACTACAATTAAACAATTTGATCATTTATAAGGTGACTATTAACTTCTTTTTCTTAACTATCCGTAACAGTTTACAATAAGTTAATAGCTTTTATAAGGCGAGAACTTTAAGTTCCATTCCCGTTTAAAGTAACTGACCATTAACTTACATTTCTTAATTATCCTTAACATTTATAATAAATTAGTAGCTCTCATAAGACTGGATCTTTAAGATTCATTCCTGTTTGATTTAACCTTAAAAAATAACTTTTGAAAGGAAGCTCTTCTGGTATCAAAATAAAACTTTTTTATCATACATAACATCCATAGAGAGACTGGTAACTTTACTGATCTTTTTACGGTATACCATGAAATTAAAATAGCCACTCCATGGGTGAAAAGGAAAAAGATTTATTCCAAACTGCCAAAGCTGTCTCCTGGGAATATAAGGAGAAGAAACAGGGGAAAGATTTTCGATGTTAAGTGTGAAGGGGCCTGGGAGCTGGGGTGGGGCTCATGAGCAAAGACTGGGGGAGCTTAGAGGCTAGCACTGCCCTTGACAAGCAAGCAGAAATTTTCACCAAGTCCCTGAAGAAGTGAGAACTTTTGTTTAAATGCCTGGTTTTGGTAAAATGAGTTTCTTGGGGCACCAGACACCCCATTATAGACTACTGTATGGCGTAGTTTATCCAGAAAACTAGAGCTTAAAGATGAAGTTATACAAATATTTCTGGGAACTTGATTACCTAATATTTATCAACAAATCTTATCTTTCAAATATACCTTATTTTTCATACATATGTTACTTACCTAAATTTTCTAGCAGCTTGACATTAAAAATTTAGCAAAGTCATAGTTAGACACATGTCTTAATAAACAGTTAGACATATGTCTTAAATCAACCTTTGTTTATATGAATAGACCTTTATAACCTTAAATTTTTATCACCATGCAGAGTAGATTGTAAACCAACATTGAATCACATATATAGTATGTTGTAGCAAATATAACCTTAAATTTTTTCCATATTTAAATTAGAAACAAGCTTGTTTTACATGCCAATCCCAGTTCCCTCTCCCTCCCTGCTGGGGTCCAGCCAATACCAGTCCTAGGCTGCAAGAGCCATCTATTTTGAACTGATGTCTTTAGGCCTCAGTTTGGAACCAGTGGAATGGCTCTGGGTCCAACCCTGAGTGGGGGAGTATGGATCAGGGAAGTCCTAGCTACCCAGCGACGTTAAGGATGAGACAGAGATATCTTGTCATTTCAGGAGGGCTCTCAGTTAATACTGGAGGCCATGGTTTATTCAAGCATCCTCTTAAGTAGCTTTCCAAAAGCAGGGGTACTGGCAGAAGACAACTATTATTGTGTATATAGGGCTCACCTGTCTCAGAAAAAAAAAGCGTAGACTATGAAAGCAAAAGAAATACAAATAAGATACTTCAACACTTTCTGCATGGAAAAGAAACAAAATGGTAAAAGTTACTACATGAGATTGCAGTATTTGCAAATCCCATATGTGTTAAGGATTTAACACATTATTATTATATTTAATAATATAATATTAAATCTTAACTATTCTTTTTTTTGGTTTTCCAAGACAGGGTTTCTCTGTATTGTTTTGTAGGCTGTCCTGGAACTCACTCTGTAGACCAGGCTGGCCTTGAACTCACAGAGATCTGCCTGCCTCTGCCTCCCTATTGCTGGGATTAAAGGTGTGCACCACCAACGCCCAGTTTAATTTTAACTATTCTTATAGAGCTTGTACAAAGAGGATAAAAGAAAATATCCACTGCTTTGTGAGTTTTCTGTAAAAAAAAGTTGAAATTAATGTTGTAAACACCAAATTGAATTTGAAATTAAAAACATTAGTAATGGCTACTATCACAGAAGATGAATTCACATTTATTTAGCTATTGATTTCAATTTTTTTGGTTGACAAAATAATTGCTACAGTTATTTCATTAAGTTTTAATCCACAGAAAGTAGTTTGAGTTTCCCTTTGTCCTGTGCAATTGTGATGTTTTGAGACATCCTGTGCATTGTTAGTGTCATCACTGGATCTTCTTTTGACTAAGTGTTGTTTTGAATGGTTTTGAGCATTATTATTATTGATCCATGTAATGATATAATTTCTTCAATGCTACAAAAATGTGGAAAAAGTACATGTGAATATTCATCCCATAGTTGATAAAGTACATAACACATTCGTGAAGGCAAGGCAGATGTTCAATTAGAATGATTTCATGATGTAGAATTTTATTTGTGTGTAATGATATATAATTTGGTTGATCCATAAAATGAGAGATATAGCCAATATAATAGTCACAACTAGAAAGCCATCTAGTTATTTTTTTTCTTCTGTTCCTTCACGTTTTCCTCTTCTTTATATTCATCATTGACGTCATCCTCATTGTCATCATCCTTGTCGTCGCCATCGTCGTCATCGTCATCATCATCATCATCATCATCATCATCATATGTATCTGTGATCCAATAATAATCTTTAAACATGCTTGATGCAGGAGTAGAACTTTCAAAACCCCATCCGTTACGCATAAACATTTGCTCGAAAGTGCTTAGTGCAGAATTGTCATCCTTGCTTATGAAGTATTTCCAGTCAGTTGGCTCATAAGGTTCCTCAGTGATTTCTGGATTACCAATGTTTTCACCTTGAAGTTCAAGTTCACTGGGATCTGTTACAGGGTCTTCATTTCCTAGTGTTTTCCACTGGTTATTTTTCAGGCACGGTGATTCATACCTAATCTCCTTGGTGGCTTTTTGAGGGTCTTGTGGGTTTTGGAGCTTTATAACAAAGTTGGAGTCCTGTTTGGAGAGTTTGTTGTCCTTCACTTTGTTAGTTTTCCTGCCATACTTGAGATCAAATGAAGGCAGATCAGTTTTCTTGACAAGTGATTCTTCATAGCTTGGCTGGTTTTCATATCCGATGTCAATTTGTTGCATGGAATCTCGACAAGGCTCAGCCCATTCACAGATGTCATCCCCTCCTTTGTATATATATTTATAATAAATAGAGCTAAGCATGTCCTGTCCCCTGTGTTTGCCGTCATGGAGCCAGCTGCCTTCACATGACCAGGGAAGCTTGTGAGGTTCCAGGTCTGATTTTCCTTGAGACTGTTTGCCAGAGTTGATGGGCTGCTTGGTTGCTTCCCTGTGATCTTCCCAATACGGCCACTTGTTCTCCATCATACGGTTAGGTTTTGGTGTTTCCAGCATTTTGATTAATATGTCTGCAGAATTCTCTTCTCCTCGAGGCCAAGGAGCCAGCAGATGTTGATTCTGGCGCATACCTATGTCGTCCCAGAAAGTTCTACGTGTTTGCTGGACTGGCAAAAGTGGATGATACAGTCCTGAGTCCTCAGGCAGCTTTCTCTGGTTCTTGTTGGCGACGGGACTGGGAATTCCGCGAGAAATGGTAGGGAAAAAGGTATTCTCAACGCTGCTGTGTGGAGTCAGCCCCTCAGTTGGTGTCCCAACTTTCCTGAGGTCATCTGGCCGTTCCTTAACATAGAGTCGGTGTTGACCCTCCACGGAGGTGGGCAACCTTAGCTGCTCTTTCTTGTGCTTTAAGAAACACTTGGAAGAGTCCTTCCACACAGACTTGCTGGTCGTGTCCTGAGATGTTGGCTTTAGTGTCCGCCGGGCCTGGTTCCCTGGCAGCCTGTGGTCTCCCATTTTCCTGACTGTGGGGCCACGGTCTCAGCCTCAGGGATTTGTTTCGTTGAGGCTACTCAGTTGCTAGGAGATCCGGATTCTACTGTGACAAGCAAGGGAGTGCCCCACCAGCAGCCCCCTCCATTCTGTTCTACATAGAGTGGGGGGGGGGATGCCTTATTTATCACAGTCTTTTTAACGAACTTTCAGATTGTTTCTGTCTTAACCTATATTTCAAAGAATTTTTCTATGGAAATGTGTATTCAATATTATTTTATATTTACCTAAAATCACACTAAATACGTGTGTGTGTGTGTGTGTGTGTGTGTGTGTGTGTGTGTGTGTGTGTGTGTTAAAGAAAGTTGAGCCAATTGGGCTAGTAGTGCTCCCTACAAGAATGATAGATTACCAAAATCCCAGGAATGGCTACCCCTTGTTTCTCAGGGGTTTAGGGTAGGCCCTTGTTGCTGAAGACTCCACACACTAAGGATGCACAACTAAGATGATTTGACCTGCATGTAGCCAGAAAGCCTCTTTCCTGTGGTCTAACTTTCATGGTTCCAGAAAATACAATGCAAGGTGCCAATGGAGGGAAGCAATTAGACACCCTCCCCCAGATGCAACACTCATGAACGCTGACAACTACCAGCATGGCGAGATACACGTGCAATGAGTGGCACTCACTTTTCTGTGGCAACCAACAGCTCTCTTGTTGACTTAAGGGCCACTCAACAGGAGGGAAATCATGCAAGGTACTGGAAACCTAGCCAGCTTCCCCAGGATATTAAGGCCATGGATATTAGAAAACAATCTACTACTGCCACTTTACTAGACCAATATAATTCCCCCACAGCATTCTAGATCTTACCCTTATACCCACAGATAAGTGCACTACCACCCTTCATCCAAGAAGCCTGTCTTTACAGCAAATGGCGACCATCACAGAAAACTACAACTGGACACAATGCAGAGATTAACACATGATGGGAGCCCAGCCCACTGGCTACATCTTCATCACAGCAGTGAACATCAAGGAAGAGGGGGCAGAAAGATTGTGATTGCTAGAATACCAGGAAGTCTGCTGTGCATCTCCTAGAAATGGCCGTGTAAACAACCCAGGGCAATTGCAATATCAGTGAACATAATATAACATGGCAAGAGGAAAGTTCACGGCATCCTGCCATTAGACAAAGACAACAGGCAACTAATGGCTCTTGGGGAAAGGAGAAGTAGCCTCTCCCAGGGATGAGCCCCACTATCGGTTGTCCAAAGCTGAATGTGAGGCCTTGAACATCTCCAGCATCCTGAATCTCCATTGCGACTTAGGCTTTGCCTTTACAGTTTTATGCCATGGCCCTCCCAAGTGTCCTTGCAGAGAAACTCCTTGTAAAATAAAGGGGTGCTGCAAAAGTCTTGATTATATGCTCTGCTGTCCATAACAGGGCCACACTTACTTCTGTCCTATATGGAAGGGTTCTGTTTCATGGCTTTTTGATGGAACAAGGGACTTCTCCAAAGACAGAAGTGTGCAGTGTGAAGATTTTATTATAAACTACTGTGACAATTTGGGGAGCATTTGGTTGTCAAACTATATAGTGAATGTGTTGATCTTTTGGAGTATAGATTCTATTGAGAAAAAATATGGAAAGCAACACATTTCCAGAATTATTGCAAGGAAAATTCCATCCATATTTTCTCTTAGCCTTGCTCAACTATTTTTCACAGTGGGATGCCATTTTCATTAATATATAGATGACGCTGTGATAATAAAGTTTTAATGTAGCTTTAAAAAACCGTTCGCATGCAGCTGCCCATGGATTTTTAGCCTTCCTTTGTGTTAGCTAAGCAGATGCCCTATAATTTCTGTCTGGGGAATTTCTCTATTCCTGAAAGTAAGAAAGCCTGTCTCTGGCATGTCAAGAATGTTGGAGAGTTGTTGTTCACTGGATCAACTCTGAAACTACAAGGACTCTGCTGCCTAGGTTTTGCAGGGATTTTCAAAGCAAAGCTACATTGAGGTTTGTTGCTTCATGTGTTCCCTAGCACTGCCTAGAAACCCTGAATGACAGCTGCCTTCTGTAGCTATATGGTTATTAACCCATACCTTGGTGGATCGGATTTCTTCCTTACTTCCTTTACGTATTACTCTATTTCTGCTTCTTAAGCTCATCTCCTGCATTGTATGTCATTCAGCCCTAGCCTTAAGTGCCTGCTTCTGGGAATCCTAAATCCTTACTATGAATATTCTCAATTTTACATAAGAAATATCACTCGCTGTTATGCTGTGATATGGTGTGTGTGTGTGTCTGAGTGTGTGTGTGTGTGTAAGAGAGAGAGATACAAATCTTGCATACTTTTATAAAAATTGTTCTTAAACACTGTGATGTTTAGAACATGAAAACTGACTTCAATAACTTAGTCCATTAACATATGATTTGCCATGCTTTGTTCAAGCCCATAGGAGGCTTGCCCCTTTCTGAATGCAGATGAAGGAGGAGTAGATAAGGAGGGGGGATAATTGGAAAGCATGGGAGGAGGGCTTGGCGGGAGGATAGGAGGAGGGTAAGCTCTGGTTGGTATGTAGAATAAATGAAAGATTGTAATTAAAAAAGTAAAAATAGCCTGGCAGTGGTGGTGCATGCCTTTAATCCCAGCACTCAGGAGGCAGAGTCAGGTGGATCTCTATGAGTTTGAGACCAGCCTGGTCTACAAGAGCTAGTCCCAGGACAGCCTCCAAAGTCACAGAGAAACCCTGCCTTGAAACCCACTCCCTAAAAAAGTAAAAATAAAAATAAAAACATACGGTAATGACATGAATTACAAAGCCTCTAACACATGATTTATTTGTAAGCATTAACCTCAAAACTTCAAAACAACTTCCATATGTCATGGAATGGTAAAGACACAGGGCTTGGTCTTTCTAAGTTTTGTGGAAGCATCTCAATATTCCTTATACATGCAATATCAGATGTTAAGGTTTGGAGATAAGAAGTCCAGATGTGAAGAGAGTTCCCTTTGGTATAACCAGAATAGCAGTGGGAAAAAGGAAGCAAAGACAGTGATACAGACTTAACATAAGAAATTCATTTTGAACCTGGGCATTGGTGGCACACGCTTTTAATCCCAGCACTTGGGAGGCAGAGACAGGTGTATCTCTGTGAGTTCAAGCCAAGCCTGGTGTACAGAGCGAGTTCCAGGACAGCCTCCAAAGAAATACAGAGAAACCCTGACTCAAAAGGCCAAAGAAAATTCATTTTGAAAATGTATCTAACTTTTCATATTTCATCTTAGAAAACATGGTATCAATAAAGAGAAAGTATTTCAGTGAATGGTATGACCAGTGTAGGAATGGATGCCTATTGTCTTCTGTCTATGACCTTATAGGAAGCTAAGAATAATGGGATATCCTTGGTTACATAAAATCTATAGGTAGCTCAGACATTGCAGGGATAGCATCAGTATCAAGGTCAGAAGGCAGATTAATCACAGAAATGGGAAGTAAACTGAGATGGGGACATGTCTATTTTGCAACAGAGAAGCAAACTGGGACAGCAGTCAAACCCTAAAGTTGAAACTCACTCAAAAGTGTAAAAATCAATTGCATAGGTCAATACACAAAAAATTTTAAATTATTTTAATAAAAAGCTATATCACCTGCCATGTTTGCCTTTGTAAGTAAAATAGGTGACTTGAAGTAGTTCATAGAGAATATATTTGATTCCATCTGTTGTTTCTAAAAGCATAGTAAGATTTTTACACAAAACTATATTTCTGTTCAAAGGTAAACTTTTTTTGTATTTTAGCAATGTGTATTTTTATTTATTTATTTATTTTTACATTCCAATGCCATTTCATACTCCCTTCTCCCCTCCTGCATCTCTGACCTCCCATCTGTTCCTTGGAGAGGGTAAGGCCTCCTATAGGAAGTCTACTAAGTCTGTCCCATCATCTAGTTGAGGCAAAAACAAGGCACCTCTCCATCCCACACCCCTGTGTGTAGACTGGGCAAGGTATCTCTCCATATAGAATGGGCTCCAGTAAGTCAGTTTGTGCATTAGTGTTAGATCTTAGACCCACTGCCAGTGGCCTCATATATTGTCCCAGCTGCACCATTGTCACCTATATTAAGGTAGTCTAGTTTGGTCTTATGCAGATTCCCCATTTGTCAGACCAGAGTCAGTGATCTCTCACTAGCTCAGGTCAGCTGATTCTGTGGTTTTCCTCATCATGGTCTTTACCCCTTTGTTCATATTATCGCTCCTCCCTCACTTCGATTGTACTCCAGGAGTTTGGTCCATTGGTTAGTTGTGGATTTCTGCATCTGCTTCCATCTGTTTCTGGAAGAGGGTTCTAGCTTCTCTGGGTTTGTGGACTGTAGGCTGGTTATCTTTTGTTTTATGTCTGGTATTCACTTATGAGTGAGCACATACTATATTCATCTTTTTGGTTCCAAATTCTTCATCCAGAATGTATTTTTCATACATCACATTCTTTTTTTTGTTTTTTTTGAGACAGTATTTCTCTGTAGCTTTGGAAGCTGTCCTGGAACTTGCTCTGTGGACCAGGCTGGCCTAAAACTCACAGAGATCTGCCTGTCCCTGCCTCCCGAGTGCTGGGACTAAAGGTGTTGGTGTTTCTGTTGTATTTTGTTCACAGTTATAATCCTCATTTATGTAACTGATAACATGACCTAGGCTGGTATTTATAACTGCCTTCCTCTGCTATCCATCCTGTATTTCCTGCACCCTCCGCAAGCCCCTCAGCAGATCTTAGCTCTTTTCCTGGAGGAGTGAACCATAGCTTCATTCCTGAAGGGTCTGTGCCATTTGCCATCCTGCCTGGATTAGGCTGTTGTACTTTCACTTTGACTTTACTCACAGGACATGGTAACGCCAAGAGACTAAAGGATCTCCTGCACACCATATATAATCTTTCTTACCTCCATTGTGGAGAAGCAATCCAGTTTCCCCATGGTAATCTGGATCAATCACCACTCCTAACACTGTTATTCCTTTTTTAGT